CTGCAGGAAGGATGTGACAACAACGGAGAGAATCCAAGAGATCCAAGATGATGAGAGGCATAGATACAATGGATAGTCAGAGACTTTTTTCTCAGGGCGGAAATGACTATTATGAGGGGGCATAATTTTAAGGTGATTGGAGGAAGGTATACAGGAGATGTCAGAAGTAGGTTCTTCACACAGAGTGGTGGACGTGTGGAATGCGCTGGCGGCAGTGGTAGTGGAGTCAGATACTTCAGAGACTTTTAAGCAACTCTAGGATAGGGACATGGAGGATAGTGAAATGTAGGGTAGTTTGATCTTTGTAGGACAATAGGTCGGCCTGTACTGTTTTATGTTTTAGATTCACCTGGATGTTAACCTGTGTTAGATATGAAGAGGTTGGATAGGCTTGGCTTGTTTCCTTTGGACAGAGAAGGTGGGGAGAAACCTGACTGAGGTGATATGACCTGTAGGGCATGGAAAGGGCAGATAGGAAGCACCTGTTAACCTTGAGCTAAAAGGCAGGAGGTAGAGGGGATTTGAGGAAACATTTTTCACCCATGGGGTGGTGGGAATCTAGAATGAAATTTACTGCCTTTTGAGGCAATACAATCTTTTTTAAAAATGTTAACTGGGTGGAACACTTGAACGGTCATAACATTTAAGGCGATGAGTTATGTGTTGGAAAGTGGGACGTGTGTCGATATGTCAACGCAGACTCAAATGCATGAAAGGGTCTCTGCTGTATGACTAACTCAACTAGGTAGGATTACTATATGCACACAATACAGAATGCTGTCGCAGCATTCAGAAAAACAAACCAAGTCTTGCAATTAACCCTCCTCCCTCTTCAGCATCAGGTTCACGGATTGGGACATTTGCATGACAGCAATTGTGCGTGCGCATAGACACATTTAAGTAAACCAAGTTTCATCTTGCATCTTAATACCCTTTAGCACAAAGGTACATTGCAGGGGGTAAAGCTACAACGTTAGATGAAAAACAACTCCCATTTTGACTGAATTCTCCTTTTATCTTCCATGTGTTACAGGCTTAGAATTGGCTTTAATCACTGCACGTCCTGAAGAGGAAGAATAAGATGAAGTCTGTAGGCAGTACAGGACACAGGAAGAGCTTCAGCTGGCGTTTGTTTGCTTGGTGACTGCCAGGAAATGCCAATAAACTCAACAGAAGATCCTTTGGAGAAAAAGGGAACTTGGACTTCAGTTAAGCTCCTCCTGCATGACTTTTCCCCTAGACATAGCTCAATGGAAATTTAAAAAAAAAGACTAGTTTCCCCCAGGGAAGATGGCCATTCACAGTACTATTATTTGCATCAATGCTTTTTACCCCCCTCCCTCAACTATCTGAAGTTACACCAAACTAGGAATGGCTGGAAATTGCCCAATATTCAGATGGTAGCAAACTTTTCATGCAAGGAAGTGCTTAATCTATTCAAACCATTAGTCATGTTTCATTTGTCACCAACAGGGCTAACATCAGGCATCAAAAAAAAAAAAAAAATGCTGCTCACCATCACAGAAAAAACATTAGAGTTCTGTCCCAAGCTCATTCAGTAAAAATTCATTTCATCAAGGCTGTAAATGAGGAGTGGAAGAGCTGACCTCCAGGAGGTAAGGCAAGAGTAACTGCCCCTTGGCAGCATTTCACAGACAGAATGACGTTAGGAACACCACCAAAACTGAATGGCAACAACTGGGGAAAACTCTCCAGTAGCTGGAGTTGTATTTAGCTCAAAAGAGGATTGTAGATGGAGGTCAATCACCAGGAGTTCCTCAGTGTAGTGTCCTATGCCCAAACATTGAAACAGTTAATGACCTTTCCTTCCCCATGACAGCCCTTTCCTCCCACCCCCCCAAAAAGTAAATGTTGGAATATTTGCTGATGATTGCACACATTCTTCAGTATCATACACAACTTCCCAAATACTGATGCAGTCAGTCAATGTTTGCATGTAGCAAGAACTGGACAACACTTCTTTTGGCTTGGACTAATAAATCAGCTATTAATATTCACACCGCACAATAACCATTTCAAAAAATGAGAAACTACATTTCTCCTCTCGATCTTGACTAACATTACCAATGTCAGATCATCCACCACTACGCTGAGGTTTACCTTTCTCCAAAACTTTAAACTGGACTAGCCATGAATTTACATGGCTCGTCCAAGAACTGAGAATTGTGTAATAAGATTCCCCTCTCCCGAGTTTCCAAAGCGTGTACACCATCCGAGTCAGGAGCGTGACAGAATATTCTCCATTTACCCAAAAGGAGCACTACTCTAAACACCAAGTCATGAAGGACAAAACTGCTTACCAGCCCATGAACCACCATAAACATTGACTTTATACCTTTTCTACACCTACTCCATCCACCAGCACCTCATGGTAGAAGTCTCTACCATTGTGCATAGCAGCAGCTTGCCACAGCTCCTTCAATAGCTCGTTCCAGATCTGTGCGCTCTCCTACCTAGAAGGAGGAGGAGGAGGAGGATGTATGGGAAGGTCATTATGTGCAACTGCCCCTCTAAGCTTCACCACCCTAACTTGGAATTCCAACATTGACTCCATATCAGAGGAGAGCAAAATTCTGAAAATCCCAAACAAATTGACGTGTCTGCACGTCAATGTGGACTGCAGCAGATCAAGGTGACTACTCCCCATCATCAACCCATAGCTAAATCAGAAATGGACAATAATTGCTGGCCAAGTCAGCAATGCTCACTTCCCAAGATCAAAGAATGAAAACAAAAAGAAACAAAAAAAAAATAGCTAGTCCAGCTTCCCTAACAGAAATAAATGGAATGTTTACAGAGTATTGTGAAAGGGTATATGCTAAGTATGTGTGGTGGCAGGGAAATTAAAAAAAAGACAAAAAAAAAAAAAGGTGGTTAGTGTTAGCAAAATTGGATATTTATCATCAGACCAGTTATTAGCAGGATAACAATTTCAGGGAGTGGAGACAGATGGTGTTGCAACAAGTTTATCACCAGAAACCCAACTACAACACTTGCTCCCCAAACTTACTCAGTGTAGTTATGATTCTTCCCATTAAAAAATTGGAGAACAGTATCCAAAGGACAGACATTTTTCTACTTCGAAGAAAAAAAAGTCTTTATAAAAAGGAATCCACTAGATATTTGCAAAGAGTGCCACAAAATTTATTTTACTCTTAATAGACTTTATTAGGTTGTTGTACACAATATCTACAGCATAGTGGATAAAGAGTTAATGTTTTCAAATCATAGTGGACTGCAATGATAGAATATTAGAGAGGACAGCTGAATAGATTTGGGTTCTTCAGACTAGTTTAAAAGCAATTTCTCTGTTTGATGACAGACAATGAGCGTATTGGTGACAGAAATCAAGAACAGATGCATTCCTTCAGTTTATGCATATTGCAAAGAGAACATTGGAAAGGCAAGCACAGTGCTGTAATAAATTAAAACAGATGATTTTATAACAACTAGATGATTGGTATAAACCAGTTTTCCTTCCCACCTCCTGTTCCAAACAGCATATTTAAGGAATTAAGAAAAAGGGACGTGATCATTGAACACTCCCAAAAAATGGTCAACAACAGTGGGGCTCTCTTATTGGGCAATTACCAGGGTTTAAGACGCAAGGTATTCAACTAATATAAAAAAAGTGGTTTCTTTTTCTGTTTGACGAGATTCCCTTTTCCAGTTTAAAATCAAAGAGCTTCAAGTTCACCCAGCAACTACTGCAGCAGCCAATGTGCTAACATTCTTGGCTTCGTGGCTCCAACACTGCTCCTTTCAGAAAGTCTCCATTCTCAAAAAGGAAAATGGGAAGATGGATAACTCCTCACAAAAGCATTGGACAGTCAGCTTCTTGCTTGCACAGGAGGAGATGTCCGATGGAAGACAAGAGTCCTTCCTTGGACCAGACGAGTTAAATAAAAGAAAGACCTTCACAGAGGACTTCCATTTTTGATCATTTACAATAATAGAAAAAAGGGGTGACATTAGCAAGTATATACAATTAACATTTGATGCAGGTTCAAGCAGTTTATACAGAATTCTAACAAGGAATTATGAGCATGAAAATTGAATATATAGTACATCAAAATCAAGATACTCCAGACCATAAGTTATTCAATAACGGAGCTTTAAGCCAATAAAAACAAACAGGACTAAAGTCAAATCTGTCACAGTCCAAGGTATGTTCTCATGCTGAATAATATCTGCTATTAAAATCAGGTTGGTCAGCCTCTTTAATGTTGACATTGATTTAATGCCAAGAATTAACTATGATCAATCACTTGAAGTCTTCAGTTCAAAACTTGCCCTTTAAAAATCAATCCCTACTTGGGATTGTATACCTCCCAAAATCATTAGAAATGAAATAATTTAAGGCTTAAGAAAAAAGCACCATCCAGGAGCTTTCAATAAACATATTCTTCACATAGGTCTTCCACACAGGATCAATTTTAACTACTTTGGTTGTTCTTAAAACAAAGTTAATACCCCACTGCTAAACTCAAACAGATTAGTAAAAAGGTATCTGTACAAACTTGCATCAGTAGTGCCTTTACAGGAAATGTAGGTATTTGGAAATTAGCAAGTGAGCAACAAATGTGCACTAGTCAAACAGACTAGCAATTTTACAGGCTGTGAATGTAGAAAAAGCACAGCAAGGACAGGACAAGTATCAGGGAACTGAGAAAGTGGCACACTTTGTCAACATTGTGTTCACACCCTATGGCACACACCTGTAGGAATCCAACTAAAATGATCAAAACCAGTAAAAGTAAACAAAACCCAACTGGAAAGTTACACTTTATTTCAAGATAGCTTTAAAACAACCATTTCATTCACATATTGCACATTAAAACCAATAGATGCTGCATCACATTAGGACATGCTAGGTGAAGTCCCCAAAACTAAGTCACTTATACAGTTACTTACAAAGTGAAGCCATGATAGGAGTTTTCTACCAGACCTGCTAGTAAGAGTCTGTATTCCTTTATAAAAAGTGTTTGGCTTGAGAGAGACAGCTACTCTTTAATTCACAAATGCAGGCATTATTGTGCACTTTAGTTACCAAAGAGAGAGCAACAAGTCAACAAAAGAAAATAAAGTGAAGGTGAGGTAATTTTTAAAAACAAGCTAGGTTTAGTTTTCTACCAGGAAAAAATAAACCACAGAGGCAAGAAAATTGTTGATAACGAAACTCCTTTGGATCTTTCCAGGACTCAACTGGAAGTCACACTAGGTCTTCAAAGCATCCCCCGTACTCAAAATGTTCGATGCAAATTTTAATCCCAGCTCTCCTCCATTCCTGATCCCAACTCCCACCTGACCACCCATCATAGCAGCTATTAAAAAGATTATATTGCATGCTCAGCACTATTTGCATATGGAAGTAGCAATATGTGGCAGAAAACAGGGACAGATTTCCATTTTACAAATGGAATTTTTAAAAATAAAAGAAAATTGCCTTCAAAATCAAACAAGCAAATTCCAAATCAGGAGTTAGATATGTATTTTGATTGCAGAAAGGATTAATGGAAATGTCTGTTTTGATGTACACTGTAAAAAATATTCACATCCCCAATATGTAAAAACTCCATACCTTAAAAAATAATTGAGTGTTTGCTTAAACCAAAAAACTATTGTTGTTTGTGAGCTGCTGAGCTTTGGGGAAAAAAAATGACCAGAATTTAAAAATAATGCCCACCACACAGTGGATGAAGGTTAAGCTGAAATAACTGCCTGGGTGCAGTGTCTCTTAGGGTACAAGTCCATTGTTTAGTCCATCACTGGTAGAGAAGGTAGTTCTTCAGGGAGGCTGGTAGTGGTAGTGAGTGGATTTCCTGTAAGCGATCCTTGCCCAAAGCAACCCGTACTGAACGCCGACAAAGGTCCATCAATGGCAGTGGTTCAGCTGAAAAAGGAA